CGGGGAGGGGCGGGGCCAGTGCCAGGGAGGGGCGGGGCCAGGTGTCAAAAGGTGGGACACAGTGAGGAGGAGGCGGTGTGGGCCAGGGCGCCTGGGGAAGGCATGAGCCTGTGCATCTGATGACGAGGGAGGAAGAGGGCGGGCATCGCCAGCTCTGAGGTCCGAATGGGACACACAGGCACCGGCTGAGCTGCGAGTCCCTCTCCTGCCTCGGACATGTGCGCTCTTGGCTCTCGGCCTTCTCCGCCTGCTCTCCTGGGCCTCCTGCTCGCAGCCGGCAGGTCCTGGAATCTCTTGGACTCCACAGCCACGTGAGCCACGTCCCTATAATAATAAATCTATATGTAATTGGCTGCCTTTTGTGGAGAATCCTGACTAATTCCACATACAATGATATTATTACCCAGCCTTAAAAAAAGAAGGAAGTTCTGACCCCGCGCGCGACGGGCCTGGACCTCGGGGACATGGTGCTCCACGACATGAGCCAGGCTCGGGAGGACAGAGGCTGTGTGACTCCACTCCCCGGGGGCCCTGGAGGCGGCAGGTCCAGGGACAGAGAGCAGCCGGTGGTGCGGGCGGGGGAGGCGGGGTGAGTGCTGGAGCAGGACAGTGTCGGTTTGGGAAGATGGACAGCCCTGCAGAGGCGACAGCTGCACAGCACGTGAATGTGCTGAGTCCCGAGCTGTGCCCGCAGAGGGTGAGGAGGGTAAATTCTGTATGGTGTGATTTTTGGTTGTTGTTAGTCCTCACCCCAGGATATTTTTTCTATTGATTTTTAGAGAGAGTGGGAGGGAAGGAGGAGACGGTGAGAGAGAGAAACATCCAGGTGAGACACAGCGATTGGTTGCCTTCCAAATAGGCCCCTACCAGGGCCCAGGATTGAACCTGCATCCCAGGCACATACCCTTGACTGGAAATTGAACCTGAGACCCTGTGGTCCTCAGGCCGACACTCTAACCACTGAGCTCACCGGCCAGGGCTATGAGGTGTGTTTTTATCACTAATAATAATAATAGCCCTAGCCGGCTTGGCTCAGTGGATAGAGCATCAGCCAGCCGACTGAAGGGTCCCAGGTTCGATTCCGGCCAAGGGCACATGCCTGGGTTGCAGGCTCGATCCCCAGTAGGGGGCGTGCAGGAGGCAGCCCATCAATGATTCTCTCTCATCATTGATGTTTCTCTCTCTCCCCTCTCCCTTCCTCTCTGAAATCAATAAAGAAATATATATTTTTAAAAAATAATAATCCTATATAATACGGTGGTAATATGCAAATTGACCCTCACTCCGTCATGCTGTCACAAGATGGCTGCGCCCACAGCAGAGGCGGGGCTTGACGGAGGACCTCAGGCTGTGGCCTCTGCCCGGCACCAGGCCGGGGGACCTGACGCTGTGCCCCCCGCCCAGCGGGGCTTGACGGGGGTGGGGCCGGCCGGGTCTGGGTCTTGCCCAATGGGGATGGGGCCGCCGGGTCTGGGTCTTGCACAATTTCAAGGTGCATGCGGGTGGGCGGGGACTTGACTCTGGGTCCCGTGGCGTGCCCCAGACTCTGACAGGAGGAAGATTTTCATATACATTTTACTAATTTTCATCCCTGACACTTCTATTATAGAGAAAGGGCAAATAGCAATGTTAAAACATTTCCTCTAATTAATTCCCTTTTAATGTGCACGAATTTTGTGCACCAGGCCCCTAGTAATAATAATAAATAAAGATTGTTGTCCTGGCTGGTGTGGCTCAGGTGGTTGGGCCTTGTCCTGTGCACCAAAGGTCACTGGTTCGATTCCAGGTCAGGGCACATGCCCAGGTTGCAGGCATGATCCCCAGTAGGGGGCGTGCAGGAGGCAGCCCATCAATGATTCTCTCTCATCATTGATGTTTCTCTCTCTCCCCTCTCCCTTCCTCTCTGAAATCAATAAAGAAATATATATTTTTAAAAAATAATAATCCTATATAATACGGTGGTAATATGCAAATTGACCCTCACTCCGTCATGCTGTCACAAGATGGCTGCGCCCACAGCAGAGGCGGGGCTTGACGGAGGACCTCAGGCTGTGGCCTCTGCCCGGCACCAGGCCGGGGGACCTGACGCTTCAGGGCACATGCCCAGGTTGCAGGCGTGATCCCCAGTAGGGGGCGTGCAGGAGGCAGCCAATCAGTGTTATGCTGTTGCCTTGATGTTTCTCTTTCTCCCTCTCGCTTCCTTTCTCTCTAAAAAGAAAATAAAAACACTGTGGTATGTAATTAATGTTCAATGAGTAATATTTTATGTAAATTTCACCACTGAATCCATAAATATATGGGAAAAAACCTCACAGCGAGATCTAGACGACTGTTGGAGCAAATGCCGGGGCGCCAGAGCCTCGTAGAGTGACGTGAAGTTACCCCCCTTGTTTTCTCCTCCGCCCGAGGCTCCCGCCCGCTGGGCTATCTCCCTTCCTGTCTTCTCCACACACTGTGTTTGGGCTTTTGGATGCGAAGAGTTTCCCTGAAATGGCGTTCCACTTCCGATGCCTGTGGTTTGGGATTTGCAAGGGAGTGAGGTATTGGGACTCGGGGACTCGGAGCAGGACTCTCTTCCAGCCTGGCCGCCGTGACCTGGCGCCCGCGGGAGCCATCCCGTCCCGTCAGCACAAATCCTGTGCCCTCAGCAGTTGGCCTGGGCCTCGGTGGACGCTGGACGCTGGACGCTGGAGGCTGGAGCCAGCTCGGGAGGGTGGGGGAGGGGAAGACAGGGCATGGCTCACCTGCTCAGATTCATCAGGCGGCCCAGGCTGGGGCAGGTGTGTGTGTGTGTGAGTGTGTGTGTGTGTGTGTGTGTGTGTGTGTGTGTGTGCGAGAGACTCTGGGGACCACACACGGGGTGGGATGGGGGACAGTGATGGGAACTGAGTGGGGGCTGCCTGGGACTATCCCTGGGGGCAGGGACTGGAGGGGGTGGGAGGAGCCCCCTCCACAGGTCTGGTGCTCTGTGTTAGGAGGTGTTGGGAGGCGGGTGGGGTGGGTGCGTGTGTCTCGGGGCTGAGCACGTGTGCAGGTGTGTGTGCAGCTGTGGCATCTTGTCACTGAACGGCCTGGCTCCCAGCTCCCTCGGGAGCCAGCTCTGCTGCTCTGTGTGGAAGGGGGTCAGGTTTCCCCGAGGAACCCCAGAATAGCCGCCGAGTGCCCGGAGGGGGCCTGGCCTGGCCTCCGTGTGGCCGGTCTGGGCCCGGGG